CGGCCACAGCAGATTGAGGTTTCGCCTCCGATTGCGGTCCGGTCCACTTTGAATGCCACTTCGGATCAGCAGCAGTAGCAGTAGCAGTAGCCATATAAATATACATATGTGTCCCATTCAAAACAAGATAAATACATAAAAATTTAAAAAGCAGAAGTGGAGGCAGAGGACGGCAATATCTGTTGTTGTTTTGGCTCATTGCCGTGCCATACCGTGCCGTGGGTTGTTCTGTTCCGACTATTTTTGGCTGACGAATCGCGACTCTCGACTCTCTGCGTCTCCGTCTACGTGTCCGTGTCCGTGTCCGTGTTCGCGTCCGAGTCACCATTGTCTGTACTAAGTAAAACCGATACCGAAGCGCCATGTCCAACTCGTTTACATGTTGGAACCGCCTGTAGGGGGGACTACACTACACAAATTTTCCAACGTTATGCAAGCATCGCTCTGGCTGCAGCCGCAGAAGTAGAACTCTTGCTGACACTGTGAAATCGAAAGCACACAATGGACTGGTATCCCGAGGAGGATGAGGAGGACCTAATGTTCTCGCCCGCTCTGTTGGCGCGTCGTGCCAGCGAGAGCTGGATCGTTGAGCCGCCAGTCGAGGTGGAGAATCTCTCTTTGCTTGATTCCGCGTCCGACATATGAATACATGAATTTTGCTTATTTCTTTTAGACGGTGCCCATCAATGTGTCGCTGCAGCGAAAGAAGTCCATGCCAGACTTCCAGGAGCTGCCGCGTGCCACCGAGGCCATGAGTCGCGAGGAGGTATCTGCACTGGGCTCGGCCCGCCGCGAGGCAGTGCGTCGACAGATCGAAGTCAACGAGCGCCTCAAAGCGAATCCCTTGCTGTACCTGGTCAGTCCACAGGTTAAGGTGAGTGTTCCCGAGCACTTGATAGTGGGCTGCATTCTATTTCGTCTGTTCTTCTTTCCAGGATTGGTTTGTGCGCCAGCAGCTGGTGCTGCTTGTACTGTTTTTCAATGCGGCGTTGGCACTACTGTTTGTCTACATGCTCACCTAGCGCCGAAGGATACGAAAGACGACACGAGGCAGGAGCAGATGTGCTTGCGACTCGCCTCCGCACGGCTCGGCGTTTTTGGAGCCACTGTCACTCAGATGCTCAGTTGGGCAAGAGCGCAGCCCGCGCTGTTTCGTGTGCTCTGTGTACTCCACTCCTCCCCACACTTTTGTGGGGGCGAAGCTAATTACTTTTTAGCATTTGCAGTAACAAATTATGAACCAAAATAAGTATCCAACGTACTACACACACTCGTCGCGAATACTCGTATGTTTATCATATATATAATATGAGAGTAACAAAGAGAAGAGAAGAGAAGCGAAGAGAACCAACACACAAAATCGAATTACAATTCTAGACTGCAGCCAACTAAAGAATAATATAATTAACTAATTAACTAGCGCAGAACTGCAATGCACAAATCGTAGTAAACTACTAGTAAAATACTTGAACCGAACCGGGTGGCTGTGCGGCCATTCGATTAATTTGTCAAGCCAATTAAACAATTTATATTTGTGGCTAACCAGATAGGAGAGGAGGTAGCAGCAGCAGCAGCAGCAGCAGTAGTACGAGATCAAATAACTATATGCAAATCAATTTAACGAATTTTTCTACACATTTAATGTAAAGCTAAAGGTAAAGGTAATGGTAAAGCAGAATGAAAGAAACAAAAACACAGAAGCATAATCAATGTTTGAGCAGAACGAACACACGTAATACTCTTATATGTACATATATATGGATGTATTCGAACTGTGGCTACATAATATCGTACATATGTAATACGAAAGCAAATCTTAGACAAATGCAAAGAAACCAAAAAAAGAAAACAGAAACAGAAGCAGAAACTATTTCCTATTTGCAATTGAATCTACATTAGTCAGCAAACTTAATCAAAACAAAAGGCAACCAAATAATATATGTATGTACTCATATTTATATATTACAAATCGTAACGATGTGACACCTATATTTGTATAATTAGCAAAATTTTATGGGACCGAAAATAACAAGAACAAGAACACGAGCAGCAGCCGCAGCAGCAGCAGCAGCTCCAAGAAATCAAAAATCTAGGGCGCTTTTCGCGCTTTGTTTTGGGTTAACCAGTTGAAAATTTTTGAAAGAAGTAAGGTAAACAGAATAGTAAAGAAAACAAATCCAAACAAAACAAAATCTATAAAATATATATGTTTAAAAACATCGGATTGAGATTGTTGACGAATGAAGCTGTATATATACATTTTAAAATATCGTATAACTATATTTATTTTCTTCTCCATAATTTATGTTTAATTTCATACTTTCATTTCAATGTGTTGGAACATATCGTTTTTAGTTTCATTTAATTTATGATATACGAACATGTTTTCAACGTTATTATTTGAACTTTTTCATTTGTTATAGAGATTTTTATGCATTAAAATATTGAAATGAAATAAAACCGCACATTCGCATCTTAGCAAGTGTATTCGGTAATCTTTTATTTGATAACTCTACCACTTATCACTTACCACTTACCATTTACTATTTATATTTATATCGAAAATGAAACTCTCAAGTGCAATTATAGTAAACTGTAAAACTTTCTGCTTTCTTCAGCTATTTGATGTGCGTCGATAGAAGAACTGTACTCGTAAATGGAGAGCGATCATAACGTAACTCACTTTGGTCCTATATTTTGTAAGGCCCTTTTTCATTCACATGTAAGGAAAGAGAAATTGGAAATTTTCTGACATGACATGACATGCAGAAAACTTACGAATTGAAAGACTTGAAACTGAAAATTGTTGGCTGATTTGTGAAAATTTAAAATAAAAACAGTTTGAAATGAAAATGTAGTAGGACTCGCGCGGTGCAAGGGCTATGCGAACTTGATTCAAGTATTTATATTGCATTATATTTGCATGCAAAACTGAATGAAACAACCAAGCAAATCGAGTTATTTATGTATATATGTATCTATGTTTATCAGATTTGCAAGCATACTCAAAGATAAAGCTGGAAAACGCATAAGATTAAATCTTATTAAAAGTTATCAACATCAAGAAAATATATCAAAATGATAGCATGATAATGAAGGACATTTTTGAAATACTATAATAAAACACATAAATTAAATTCTCCTAGCCGAGATTTTGATGGCGGTCGAAAGTCTGAATCCTCACGATATTGGCATCGCTCAGGACATGTAGGGATCGTAAACGATCAGGGGAATCCAGAAATGTCCAAATCGGAAAGGCAATATCCTTTTTGCCCTCGAAGCTAAAGTATTTCAAACGGTCGAGGATATTCTCGCGAGAAGGCGTGGCCCAGATCGAACAAGAAATGGAGGTAAAAAGTAAGTATATATGATTGGGGACAATATCCTTGATCCTTGGTAAGTAATCGATCAACTCAAGGATTTTCTCCCAATCACGAGAATGCGTGGCACGCCCAGATTTGTCAGGAATGGCGGAGTTTTAGCGATCTATACCGGCAATATCCTTATTGTCCTTGAGGCCAAACGATCTGATATACAATATCCCGAACCTAACAAGCCGTCGTCATCCTTCGACCCTGCTATCGACAACTTTCTCAAGGACTTTGGCTATGGCAACCAAGGCAGGGGCTACGCGGACTACTAGGCTCTAGATAGATCTCGTTGTTGTTAGGTTTAAGGATACACGTCTATACATTTAGATAGTAGATATTAATGTTTTCCACTTGTTTATTTATTTGTACTAAGTTAAGTTATGATGAATAAAACTGTTGTAAAATCATCCTTGCTGTATCCTGTATCGGGGAAGCTATCCCGATTGTAAAAAGGCGTGGCACGTCCAGATCGGTTCACAAATGGAGGAGAAAACTAAATATTTTTTATTGGGGAAAATGTCCTTGATCCTTGATAAGGACTCCATAAAATCAGGGACATTTGTCCGATCACAGGAAGCCATCGCACGCATAGATCGACCCACAAATAGCCGAGAAAACAGAATATGTATGGATGGGGTTATTGGAGTCCTTACCGAAGGATCAAGGATATTTTTGTGATCACGTGGGCCATGGCACGGCCCAATCGGGCCAGAAATAAGGAAGAAAAGAAGATATATATGTCTGGAGAAAATGTCCTTGATCCTTGGTCCTTGATAAGGACTTTAAAAAATCAGGGACACTTTTCCGAGCACAGGAAGCCGTCGCACGCCCAAATCGGCCCACAAATAACGGACAAAACAAAACTGGTTTGTAATTTGTTATTTTTGAAAATGTAGTTCAAGAAATCGCCTATAGGGGCGCCACCGTACAAAACACCAGGCAAACAGAAATCAGCAGAAGGTCGATGATTTTTTTTTAAAAAAATTTGTTGCCCCCTAAAGTATGCTGCGAAATATTTTTGCAATTCCCACAGTTGCTTGCTGCTGATTTATGTTCGCCTGGTGTCCCATCCAGATTTTGGCCTTTTGACGTGAGATTTTTTCTTTTGTACGGTGGCGCCCCTATAGGCGATTTCTTGAACTACATTTTCAAAAATAACAAATTACAAACCAGTTTTGTTTTGTCCGTTATTTGTGGGCCGATTTGGGCGTGCGACGGCTTCCTGTGCTCGGAAAAGTGTCCCTGATTTTTTAAAGTCCTTATCAAGGACCAAGGATCAAGGACATTTTCTCCAGACATATATATCTTCTTTTCTTCCTTATTTCTGGCCCGATTGGGCCGTGCCATGGCCCACGTGATCACAAAAATATCCTTGATCCTTCGGTAAGGACTCCAATAACCCCATCCATACATATTCTGTTTTCTCGGCTATTTGTGGGTCGATCTATGCGTGCGATGGCTTCCTGTGATCGGACAAATGTCCCTGATTTTATGGAGTCCTTATCAAGGATCAAGGACATTTTCCCCAATAAAAAATATTTAGTTTTCTCCTCCATTTGTGAACCGATCTGGACGTGCCACGCCTTTTTACAATCGGGATAGCTTCCCCGATACAGGATACAGCAAGGATGATTTTACAACAGTTTTATTCATCATAACTTAACTTAGTACAAATAAATAAACAAGTGGAAAACATTAATATCTACTATCTAAATGTATAGACGTGTATCCTTAAACCTAACAACAACGAGATCTATCTAGAGCCTAGTAGTCCGCGTAGCCCCTTCCTTGGTTGCCATATCCAAAGTCCTTGAGATAGTTGTCGATAGCCAGGTCGAAGGATGACGACGGCTTGTTAGGTTCGGGCTCTTGCAGGGGGTGCTCCTCTGACCTGCTGGGATACGACTCGGTTTGGCTGGGATAGGACTCCGTCTGCCTCGAATACGCCTCGGTAATGCTTGGATATGACTCCGTTTGGCTGGGGGCAATTGGATACGACTCAGTTTGTGGCAAAGCGTACGCCGTGTGCTCCTCGACAATGGGATAGGATGTGGTTCTGTCGTAGATGTTGGATGGTGGCGGTGTGGCAACGGCTATCTTCTCCTCATAGGGCGTTTTAACCTTGGCCACAGCCACTCCGGATGAAGAGGCCACTGCTGCGGCTGATACCTTGATACTGGGGTAACGCTTAGGGGTCGGTTCAACCCTACTCACAAGGGGAATGGAAGGGCCTGCGGACTGCTGCTTGTACACCGGAGAGTAGTAGACAGAAGGAGGCGCTGGCTGCAGCTGAGCTCGTGGCTGAGGTCTGGGCGGTGGTGGGGCTGGATATTCCTTCTTGCCGCCATAGGCTGTGCTCAGAAGCTGGGCCAGCTCCTCCAGGGTGTAATTGGGAGCATTAATGTTGTTGGCAGCTGGCGAGGAGGCGGCGGCAGCGTGTTCACTGTAGACCAGAGGGTAGGGCTTATAGGCCTTGGGACCGTCCACTGGGCCCACCAGTCCTGCATAGCCTGCTCCTCCTCCGTACTTGGGGAAATACTTGCGCTGATGCACATGCGTGTACTCTATCTGGCCCCCCGGCGCGTAGTCGCCGGTGGATGAGATCTGGGTGAGCTGCTGTTTGGGTCCGGAGGTGGCCACCTTGCGACAGAACTCCTTGCAGCCGAGCTTGCACTCGCAGTAGCACTTCTTGTAGGCCGTGGGCTGGGTGGTAATCTCCTCCGCTGATGTACCAGTTGTGGTCGGGTAAGAGACCTGGGTGGTGCTGGCGACGGTTGTGGTGGTTGTAGGAGGTCTGGCTGTCGATCCAGAATCTGGCCGCGCCGTGGTTGGGCGTGCAGTAGTGGGCACATGGCTGCATGGCACCTGCTCCCACACCTCCTGCTCACACTCTGCACAGTACTCCGGAAAGTGGGCGTGGGCCAGACCCGAGGCGCACAACAGCACCACAAACAGCAAACTGCAGCGTCCGTACATCTGAAAGGGAAATGGGAAAGGGAAATGAAAATGAAAATGGGGCACTGTGAAAGGTAGGGCGCTTTATGGGTCAGATCGCTTCGAGCGCTCCCAATTGATCGGACTCAATTCTTACCTTTCAGCAGTATTTATCTCCCCCGCTTGCTTTCGTTCGGTCCCGGATCGGTGTTGGGTTGGCACTTGTTGGCTGCTTGTCGGTCGCGTGCGAAATTCTTTCATGCAATTTGCTGAATAGCTCTTAAATACGCTTCGCTGGCCGAGACTAGATCGGCGACCTGAGCTGCTTCTTCTTCATTGGAAGCCACTATTACAACGCCATGCAAATGGGTCGCGGAAGCGTTGATCGCATCACGTTCCAAACGCTTGACGGATCGGAACCGTTGGGTGGCAGCGGGGGCTGCCGGACCGGTCCACATATCGACATTATAATCGCCAGTGGTCGCTGCTTCCGTAATACACATTCAAGCATTTCTACCCGCACTCGTCGATAGCAACAAGAGGTCTCAGCACTCCAAGAAATGCCTCTCACCTGTTACCATCTACCATCCGCATCGATCCATCCACTTGGCTCCACACATACCGCACTCGCTGACCATTTTTTTGGTTCTGCCGAATCGATGCCATCTGTTTGGGGGATTTATAATTTCTGGATTTTCGGCCTCACTTGATACGGGTACTAGTATCATCTTCAGTGGTCGAAAATCTTATCAACTTTAGGGCACATTTTCGTGGCTCTTTGTCAGGCCACGTTCGCTGCTTTTTGGACATAGATAGTCAAAGCAATCTTTCAACTTTATCTCGTAACTGGAATGCTCTGAATATCATCAAATATTTTCCATTGAAGAGGCATCTATGAAAGTGATCTTTAAGAGTCGGTTAAGAGAATGCAAACTTTTTTTAGATTACAATTTTTCAAGAACTATTTCAATGGAAAATCTATCTATCACTCAGGGAGACTATCATAGCTATACGTATACATTCCTAATGATTGCAAATATAACTACGAATTCAGACTGTAATTTATTCATTTAAACGCGTATCATTTTAGATCTTAAAACAAAATAAAGAATAAATATGAGAGAAAGACTGAATGGGTCACAGAGGGAACTTCAACTCAGATTCGTCACACGATTTTGGAAAGGTCTGGCCCCGGCATAGACCTGTATTTTCGGATGCAAACTCTGTTCATCCAATGGCTCGGCCTCCACAGCATCCTCGTCTTCCTCTCCATCATAGAAGCTGCGCTTCTTCTTTAACTTCTCCCAGTGACTGATTCTGATTCCGGCCTGGAGCTTACGCGGCGACGGAACATTCAAATGGTCCTTAAATCGCGCTTGTGCGTATATTGGAGGATTGGGCGTAGGTTGGGGGATTCGAGGGCCGCCAGCCACAGCCACATCGATGGTGTCCGTACCGCTCTGGGCGCTGGTCAGCCGTCGCAGCATCTCCTGGTAGTGGGGCTGATCCGCCGTGATGTACTCGGGCTCATCCTCCGGATTGAGTATCTGGTAGTTGGGTGTGCCCAGCTCGAAGGTGGTAAAGTCGCCGTGCTCCACTCTGTTTTTCAGCTGGCTGGCACTCCATCCGTACTGTTTGAGCGGAGCCATCCATTTGGCATCTGCCTCATCTGAAGCCTGCGTGCCGTGGCAGGAGCCGAGAGCCATCAGCAGTGTGATCAGAAGAAGTCGTGTCGGCAGGTGGTTGACCATTTTCGCACTGATGCTCCATTGATCTTTGGCAAGACCGTTAGCCGTTAGCAGAGTCTTCGACGACTGTAATTGGACGCCTACAACTGGGGGCAGGTACGTGAGATTAGAGGCGTCATGGGGCCGTGTCTCGTCTGCCAGCGATTGCATTAGTTTCTGCTTATCATGCCCCAAAGCCAGAGCCAAACCAAACCCAAACCAAAGCAAGCCGTGACACATCGTGATATCTGCTTATGAGACATCACTCACTGTGGGTGCTCCACACTGAGAAGCGAAGTTCCCCCTCGACTAAATCCAAGCCTAATACTCGTAGAATACTTAATTCTTCTAAACTTCTAATTTCCCATTCCCAACTGGCTGTCTCTTCTCTGTTAATCATCGAGAACAAGTCGAGCATTTTTGTGTTCTTCTGGCGAACAGAATGAATGTGATGCATCTTTATATGTAGACTGCTGTATGTATGTATGTACGAGTATGTACTAGGGTACAGGATTATGGCGTATATATAATTTAATTATGACGTGTGCAGTGGAGATTGCTTTTCTTATGGCGCTCATGGCTCATGGAGAGGTGCTAATGGTGAGGTGGTCAGTCGGGGCCTTCAGTACTTGTACTGAGCTGTGGGTCCGGAAACAGAGACATAGTTACCTGGCGACAGCTCTTGTTTGATGAGGGCCTTGGGGGCGGCGTAGTGCACGAGTGGTGCCGCCACGAGCTTGGCGGCGATCAGCTTTTTGGATGGCTCGGGCAGGGGGATCTTGATGTCGGTGGGCTCCCGGTGGACAATCGCCTCGAAGCCGTTGTGATCGTCCGCCTTGTACTGGACGATGCGACGGTAACCATCGGAATCGATCAGCTCGTAGACGCCCTCGACCTTGTCGTCCTTGCGCACCTCTTTCTGACTCTTGATGTCCCCGGTGTGCGGATCGTTGACTGACCAATGGAACTCGTAGGCCACTGGTCCGTAGTCCGGCTCCGGCTGCAGTTCAAGGGCGCTGCTCAAAGTCAGTGCCAGGCCCAGACAGAACAGAAAGCTCACCTAGAACGAAAGGACACGCATTAGTTGGGCCCCAATCCAAGGAAATCTCCGTTCGGAGCGCAACTCACTTTTCCCATCATTTGGTTTTTGGTCAGTCGGGTTCTGAGAACTCTGGGGTAATGTAATGCACGCGACGGAGATCGGAATCGAAGTAATTAATCTACCGAGTCCTCGGGTGGTTTTATACTCCGCTCATTACACCAGCACTCCATCCAGTCCGACTGCAACTCCGATGTGGCAATCCACCCAAATGGTTGGTGTGGCACGCGCCTCCAAGTGGAGCGCGCTCATTAAGTAAGCCCCGAAAAAATTATAATTAAACATGAAGTATGCAAAGTGCAGAGCTTGGACCGTCCCACAGCGACCCAGCGAGTGATCTACATGGACATGTAGCCAAGAGCTGGCCACAGAACCAATATGCCCGTCCCGGAGGGGGAGACGTAATATTAGAGGTGTCGGTGCGTTAGTTAGTGCGCGACCAGGTCCGCTAGTCGGTCCAACAAATGTGCAGATTAATTTATTTTGTCAATAATTTGCAACTCAAAGACAGACCAGACATTGGGCAACGAGGCCTGCGACTATGCGAGACTGCATTAAGTCATAAAAAATAATTGTCATGTTTGTTTGATTGGAGAGCGGGTTGGGGGCGATGTTAGTGGCGGTGTGGTGTGGAACCTTCATGGATTACAGGACAGGCGGGATCCTTTGGATCAGTTGAACGACCAACTGATTGGGACACACAACACGTTGGATGCCATTAACAAATATTTTAATTAATCGCCATTGGACAGACGGGTTTCCTTTTGCCAAAATTCAGGTTACTCTTATCTCCAAGTTTTTGGATGTGTATGTGGATTGGGTGTCTAGCTGCAGATCGTGTTTGTCGAACCTTAAAAGCAATCTCTGGTATGTGCACTTGTTAGGCGTAACTTGCTCCGAATCTGGGTTAGACTTGCACTTTGTGGGGTCGGTCTTTGGTCTTCGGTCTCCGATCTGCCAGTTGTGGGCCGACCCGTCCCCTGGTTTTCACTGTGTAGTTTATCATATCAGTTGTTGTGGTCATGGGTTGTCATCTTTCGATTGGTCTTGTTTGTCGGATGATGAATCGTCCCCCTGCTATTCTTCAGTGTCTTCATCTCTCTCCTTCTCCAGCTTGGCGCGGACTTTCAGCTGGCAACGAGATCTGAGCAGCTCCCGTCGGAGACTGTTGCTCTCCGTCTCGACAGTTTTGATAAGCTGGGTTCGGGGATTATTAAACTACTTGTGAAAAGATCCTTAGAACGGGTGTTTCCACTTACGCTATTGGTCAGAGCTGCTCGTTCCATGGTCTCGGCGTCGGCATCATCATCCCCCAAACAGGACTCACAGCAGGAGGAGACCACATGCTGTCGATAGTTGCGACACTCGTGTCGGCCAGTCGGATCCTCCGGCTGATACTTGGGCGGAGGATCATCATCTTCGATGGGAGCGGAGGCAGAGACTGCGCCATCTGCTGCTCCTAGCATCGCCTTCAAGGCAGTCACCTCCTCGCGCAAGGTTTGGTTCTGCGTCTCCAGCAAGTCCACCTGTAAGGGAATTAAATGATTAGAAATTCAATTTCGTTATGGGACCTGTGGGAATCCTACGCTGTCCAGCTCAAAGTCCATTTCGTCGATGATGTCATAGGACTCATCTAGAGCTCTTTGGAGCTTCTCCACCTGAGCCTTCAGCTGCTCGACCTCATTGCGCTCGTTCTGTGCCGACATCCGCTTCTCTTTCATCATTCGCTGTTCTGTGTGACGCTGATCCACGGCCGACTTCATTACCAGACCCGTGAGAGTCTTCTGCCGCTTGAACATTTCCTCGAGTGCCTTGCAGCGCTTCACCTTCTCCAGGTAGGCATCGTGCAGTTTATTGTACTTCTTCTTGTGCTGCTGCACTGTCTCGACCAGCTGATCGCGCTCCTCCTCCATCTGAAATGCGACGATCCTGGCCTGCACGTCCACGGCTGCGTTTGTCTGGTGGTCTGAGGACATTCGATTGAGGCGATGGCGCAGTAGAACATTCTCCTCCTCCAGTTGGAGACTTCGTGCCTTTGCTGCAAAGACACGCCCAAGGAATATCCTGTTAAATGTGGCATACTACCTTGAGATGAAGTATACGAACCGGAAGCCAGCTCCGCATAGAGCCCCTGCATAGTGGACGAGGATGGTTTTTCCATTTGGTTGTGATTCTAAAGTGCGTCGTTCCCTGTAACAATTACTCAGCCACTTGGTCGGTCGTCGCTTAGTGGATCTGAAAACAATAAAGATAAGATATCAGTATTGATGACTGCGGGGTTGTCGCCGCTAGTCGTTGAGACCTTAAAGGAAATAAATATAAATTAATCCGAAAACAAGAGTGCTTTTTACAAAATATAACTTAATGTTAAAAGCTTTTTAAATTGAATTAATTATAATTAAATAAAATGTTTTTTCTATAGCTGGATGTTGCAGCCCTGGAAAAACGGTATTTGGTATTGTACAGTTTTGTTTGGTTGATGTCTTGGCTAAGCGACACCAAGTGGCGCCACAACGGAACTATCGCCTCAGTTGAATTTTTGAGGTTTCTTCATATATTAACGAAATAACACCATGGCAGTGGTGTCGTGGGCGTGCTGCTGCCCTAATACAAGACCCTAATCATATGCAGTAATATGTCTAAAACATAACAATCTGATATAATTCATTTATTAATTACCTTTAAAACAGCTTGGAAAAACAGTTTCTTCATATTATATTAACGTAATAGGGTATACCTATGGCCAAACTCCGGTTGACGTGACATTTCATACTCACTTACGATGCTCAAGACGACCAGCTGCAAGGCGCAGAAGTGGAAGCCAAAGTCCTTGAACAGATAGACCTCGCCGGCGAAGCCATACAGATTCAACACAATCAGGAAGCCTCAACTGTCTCTTTAAGATTTAAAAACACTTTCTTTTATTGGCATGGTCACAAGCTTGCCGTCTGTTATTAAATTGTATTTCTAAGTTCATTAAAATTTCAAGAAATATTAATTTTACATTTGTTTAATAATTAATTTTTTTGCTCATTTAGTATATATTTTTTTTTAGATTCCGACGATACAGACGAATATCCTTGTGTTGATGCCGCTGCCGCTGTCGCGTTCTATTGACGTTGGATGTTGAGGGCTGTGTAGTTTATTTTTTGGAGGTGAGGTGATGGACGTTAGGCGCTGTAAAAATTGCTACATTTGAGGAAAGAAATCATATCAGGTTATATATGTATATATATAAATATATATGTCAATATATATGTGGGCAAATAGAACAACAACAAAGAGAAATAGAATGGAGAGGTGAAAAAAAGTGGAAGAGAAGTGGAAAATCTTCAAGTTAAGTTTTGTGAAAACGTAGGCAAAAACATTCAATTTGAAGTCGATTTGAACTTCAAGTTGAATATTTAATAAGAACGTCAATATATTTAATGGAACGTGCGATAACGTTCGAAGAAATTGAACATTTTGCGGGTAATGTGAGACCACATAGAAGTTTGTTTGTTTTTAGTTGCTATTTTTCACTTTTGTTGTTGTGGGTGATGGTTGCTTGGTTTGGTGGTGGAGTGCATGTTGATGATAATTATTGAGATATATTTCATTGTTTATTTGTTCAATCTCAAGAAGCAGCCGCCTCCTTCGCCACCTAGTAACGTCGTCGCTCCCTCTCGCGGCTCCGCGAATGGCGTCGCTCGTTTGAACGATTGCGACGCGTGTCACGTTGACGGTGGTCACGATCCTTGTCACGCTCCTTCTGGCGCTCCTCCCGTTCCTTAATGCGTAGCTTATGCTCCTCGATGCGTTTCTGGCGGAATGCCTCCTTCTCTGCAATCTATGTGTGGAGAGAAACGTATTACATACCCCCTATAGGAGTAGAAATGCAATGCTTACCGCTTCCGGCGTAAGTGGCAGCCAGTAGATGCAGGGTGTGATCTTAGTTTTACGAAACAGATCATCCAATAGCCTAATTGGTGGCTCGTTCTCCTTTCTTTTTGTCTTGGGCACTGTTATAAAATAGATTTTGTAATCACAAAGCAATACAAAGAGCAGATGAAGGCTTACTTGGTGATCCAGAGCGGCTACGTCCGTGTGTATTGCGATCGTTATTGCGTTCATTGCGATCACGTTCGCGTCCTCTGACACCATCTCCTTCCTTGGAGCGCTTGCGATCCTGACCAGGTCGCTCAACATCGCGCGATCGGGAATCCACTGCACGCTCCTTGCTCCCTCGACGTCTGTCGTTGCTGATTTTCTCGCGGTCATTAGGCTCCTTTTTGCCCACATCCCATTCCCGTACCGGGCGGGCAGGCTGCTCAGAGCATAACGATTAGATTCGATTTTAGTTACGAAAAAAATTAAGATTAGATTCTTGTACCTTTTTATCAGTCGCCTCCAAACGAGACCAAGCATTGCCTGATTGCTGATTATCTCTGGTATTTTCCTGGCCATAACGTGGCGGCTCGTCCTTTGTCAATTGGATCGCACGATCCATGTCTGTACGACTGCCGAAATCCACATTCAAGCACTTTGGATTCGAGACTGGCCAGCGTACTCCATGCAGGGCGTGGCGTGTTTCAATAGCCTCGCTGTAAAGAAGGGATCATATGAATATAAAGGAGATATGTTTATTTAGTAATAGGATACTAACTCTTCATTGGAATAGGCAACAAAGCACTTGGACTTGATGCGATCTATCCAGAAACCATCTTCGACTATCTTGCCCGTCCGTGCCAGCAGCCCCTTCAGCTGGAGCACAGTGAAGGGACGCACCAAATTGGTTATGTAGAGCACGTGACTGGAACGATTGCGGGCTGGACTCGGTGAGCGGACTATATTGGGTTTCGCAGACGGAACTGTTGATTTACTCAACCCCCCGCCGACATGCACCTGCACAATGTCTGTGGCGAGCGCCGGTGTGGTTCGCCCAGCGCCTGCGGCGGCGGTTTCCTTTGTCGCACTCGACTCGGCAACACTGTTGTCAGTGGCAGTGACGACAGTGACCGTGCCACTCTCGTCGCATTCACGCTCCTTGCGCAGTACTGGTGCCACGGGAGACACAGAACGGTCCGATTCATGGTCGCTAGTGACAAGACCCTCCTCCTCCGAGGACGAGTCCAGCTGGACATCGCTGAGCGGCACTGGCACCACATCGGATATGATGTTCTTCAGCGAATCCGTCGAAATGGCCAGCACGGGCGGTGCGCGATCTGATGATTTTTTGTTCGTCAGCCACTTGCGCTTGCGCACTGAGCGCTGACTCTGCAGAACAGTGGGTGCTGGCGCAGTGGGTGGTGTCGCGGTGACTGACGTCTCGTGCTTATTTTTCGGAAGATCATTGGCCTCGTCCTGAGCTGGTTCTGGCTGCTTTTCTACTGACTTTTTGCGATTCTCCTTTTGCTCGTCCTTCGTCTTGATGGGGTTCCGCTCCGGTAGCTGCTCCTTATGCTTCCTCTTTCTCTCCTCCCTGCGCTCCGACTTTGGGGTGTCCTCGGCTGCGGCCTCATCATCCCTTTCTTCAACGTCCTCTGTTTGAATGTCTAATACATCACTGGATGTTTTTAGATGTTCCTCCTCCTTACTTGCTGTTAGGCTAATCGAAGGAGAAGGAACTTTTACCTCTTGAATGTGAATGCTCTGCCTGCCGTCGTCGTCAGCGTCATCGTCTTCAATTGGCTTTTTATCATCCGATTTGTCATCGTTCTTCACGTCCTTCTTGGCATTACCTGGCTCTGGTTGCGGCTTCTCGACCTCAAGTTCTGATTCCTCCTTCGGCTCCGGGTCCGCTACAGGTGCAGCATCGCTCTTAGACTCATCTACGCTGTCTGCAGCCGGAGGAGTCCTCTTCTCGCTCTTATCGGGTTTGACCACATCCACGTTGTTTCTGCTCGATTCGCATTTATCCGAATCGGCGCCGTTTTCTCCCTCCTCCGGTATGGTTTCCACCTTTTTATCGCTGCTTTTACTTTCCACGCGCTTTTTAGGCGTCGTGCGGCTGCTGCGGCTCTTGCGCACTGGTGATGGCGATGCCGCACGCTCCTCGCTGGAGGCACGCTCGCGATCTTGAGCCTCATTGATTTCTTCGCGCGATGCGGCGGCCTGTGGCGTTTCCTGATTTTCAGCATCTTTTTGCACTACGACGCTATCTTCCTCATTTCTTTCATTTTCGGACACTTTGCGGGAGCGTCGACTACGTCGTGCCGGCAACGGTGCGGGCGATGTAGATTTTTTTCGCTCGCTGCGCCGCCTCATAGCTGTAAAAAAGCGCCCTCGGCTCACAGCACTGCAAAAAATCTGAAATAAAATGCGCGTGAACTTCTATATGTCGACACGTCTGATATTTAATGCACTGATGAACGTTTAATTCCCAAATTTAGCGATATGCACCTTTTTTCTTTGAGAAAAATTTTGCCTGCCAGCGTCAATCCGCCATCAATATGTAGGGTTCAGTGTGACCGCCGACCGATACAATATACCGTCCGAACTCAGAAATATACCGAAATATACCGCCACATTTTTAAAATATACCGTAAATTTACGGGCGAATTCAAGTTCTATCATACATATTCCTCGTTTTTGATATTCCGTCGAATATTATTAGCTAGATAGAACACCCAGCCCTGCCCACATAATTTTATTCGATTAATGAATCAATTTTCAACTGGACTGACTTGTTTTAAATACTTCAATTGTATTCCTGCTATGGCGATCGTTTTGATTGTTTTTGCTTAAATTTTGGTTGCTCAGCAAAAATATTAGCATCTCGTATATCGATAAGAAATCGAACTTAGCCCACTGAACCCCCCTCTATTTAAACAGTTGAACGACTTGAGGCAAATGGCGGCAAATACTACTGATTGTCAATTTTTCTTGTAGATCCATGCCTCGACACTTTAAAAAAACCCGACATCATTCACCTGAACTGCACTATTATTCTTCAAGTCTTATCATTTTCATTGGGATATAAAACTACCCCCCTGGTCAACAATGGGTTAATCTTTTTCTTTATATTTCTCGATATTATTATTCGATCAAATGCGGCGTCGTTGCAATATACACTTTTCCACAGCATTTATTTCCATTTATTTTTAAAACTGCATTTCGCAAGAATACTTTTAATAGTAATTGTCAACTTTGTCTTTTCTTGACTAAACTCTATTTAAGTTTGGTGCGTATTTCCACACTTTGCAGCACTAGGGCGCATTTCATAAGTCGGCAACCCAAAACTTCCAACTTTGATTTTAGGCATAAAATGCGTTAATATATTATTAAAATGATTGTTACGAATATTTCCAAATTAACCCAAGTAATGGCCAGACTTCGGGTAGGCCCAAGTCCAAGGGAATATGGCCAGATGTCAAAATTTCGAAGAACCATCAACCAGCAACGGTCAGAATCGGGATTCTCGTCGCCCTGCCCTAATGTGGGTCGACATCAGCACCATGGTACCGGTTCAGCCTCGGGGAATGCATACAGAGGCACGGCCTTGGCTTTTACAGCAGCCTTCACTTTCAATCTGTTTGGAAACAGCGATAATGACAAGGAGGAGACTCCTGAAGAGAAATTGATCAACCAGATCAAGCGATCCATTCTATGCGTACAACGGGAACAGTATGACAAGGCGGAGCAGATGCTCCACCTGGCACTGCGGATGGCTCAAGACTTGCAGAGCAAAGATGGCATTACGTATGTGTACGATGTAATGGCCAACCTGGCCATGGAGCGCGAGCAGTTCAAAAAGGCAGAGAAGATATTCACGGATGTGATGAAGCGTCTCTTTGCTGATGGCCACACGGAAGAGAGCCCAAAGGTTTGTCCGTCACTTATCTGTACTGAGGTCTAACCACATTAAACCGCTTGGTTTGAATGCTTTCAGATACTGCACATTAGTTCCAAGATAGCGCACATGTCCCAGTTGCAAGGCGATCTGGAGAAGAGCTACCAAGGCTTTGTCTGGACCCTGCAGCAGCTGGCCAAGCTACTTGAGAAGGTGCCCGAAGACAAGGACATCCAAGAGCTGTATGGCTTGACAAAAAATTGGTATTGAAGGTGTTTCCATATTGATTTCCAAGCTCGTAACCCCCGAACCCTCCTCATCAAACCGTATCCCTAACGATGTGTATTTTCCAGGTTTGGCCAGCTGCTGATGAAGCAAGGAAAATACACAGAGGCCAAGAACCTTTTTAAAGAAGCCTTCGACACCCTCTGCGATGTGTATGGCGCCGTCAACGATGCTTCGGTGACCATTTTGAACAACATCAGTGTGGCATATGTGAACGTAAGTCCTGTCCTCCTTCCATAAGGCATTCACTTGTACAATAACCTCAAGTTAATTATTTTAGCTTGAAAACTACACAGAAGCGAAGGAAACTCTAATGCAAGCCATGGCCCTGGCCAAAGAGCTGAAGGACGTCAGTCAAGAGGGAGTGCTGCTGGCTAATCTGGGTCTGGTTTACCTACGTGAGGGTCTGATGCAGCAGGCTGAGCAGTCCTGCAAGTTGGCTTGGAAAATGGGGCAACAGCACAAGAATCCCGATGCCATCGAGCAGGCCGAGTATTGCCTCAACGAGATCAAGGCAACCATTAATGGGACGAAAGGGAAATGAAGTTGATTTTTTCCTGTAAAAGTGTATTTTTTGACTAATTTAAACCGTTCGTGTAGAAAAGCATAATTTTTGAATGCAAATAAAAAACTCTATCTCTGAAATTATGTGGATGTTTAAGTAACGTTCCAAGAAACTATTCCAACTTGGCTATAACAATCATCAGCGCCACGCCGGTGAGTAGGGCTAGGATCTCCTTCAAGGATTGCTTCAGTTTGGTCGACTCCTCTAGCAGCTCTGGAAGCACGCTTACTGTGGCGATGTAAATGAATCCGCCGGCTGTGAAGGGTAAAACCCAGGGAGCAGAGTTATCCTCACCGCTGCCGGCACCAATCAGGGCCAACGCTGTGCCTGCCACGGCTCCCAGCGCCGTCACGAGCTGCAGCATCATCGCCTTTCTGCGGGAGCATCCCGACTTGATAAGTATGGCAAAATCACCAATCTCATGCGGCACCTCGTGCAGCAGAATGGTGATGGTTGTGATTATGCCGATGCTGTTGCCAGCCAAATAGGAAGCACCAATTGCCAGTCCATCGGTGAAGTTGTGGGCAAAATCTGCCGCCAAATTCAAGTAACCTGAGATCTCCACCTCGCCCTCCGGCTCTGGCTCGGGCTCTGGTTTCTTTGCCTTGGCTTTCGATGATTTACCTTGTTTATCGCCATCTCCGCTGCCTTCTCTTATCGGTGCTTTCTTCTCGGCAACAGGTTTGGGTTTGGGCTTTGGTGCACCGTGGCTGTGCCCGTGTCCACCGCCGCCGCCGCCACCTTTCAGTATGCGCACAAGTTTCTCCACTGAAAGGAAGGCGATAATTCCGCCCAGAACCCACAGACCAACGCTCATGTCGTGACTGTGTCCATGGGCCTCGCCTTCAAGATGATGATGGTCGTGTCCGTGGCCGTGGCTGTGACCATGCCCGTGGTCGTGCTCTCCGTGACTATGCGGATGCGTTGCATGCGGTATCAAGTGCAGAAATGCATCGCCTAATAGGCCGCCGGATGCAAATGCCAGTAGAACTTTCAAACGGGGTTTCATGGCATCGCTGTTATCAAGCGGTATGATGTAGAGCAATACAAAAGGCGCGGCACTGATAAGCAACGTGGACCCAATTGAATGCAACCATATGGTGCTCATATCTATAGAGAATAATATAAAGTCACATATGTAAATAATTAGAGACAATGCGAGAGCTTACCAAGTGCCGGCTTCGTTTTGCTGTGGATGTCGACGTCTTCATGCCCGTGGTGATGATGCCCATGCTCGTGGTGCTCATCGTGATGATCATGAGCGTGGTGATCGTCATGATGATGATGATGATGATGGTGATGATCATCATCATCATGATCGTGATGGTGAACTGCCGGCGGAGCCTTCTTCGCATCGAAATTTTCATTCGCTTCGCGCGAGTATTTAAAACTGGGGTTTCCCTGGCCCCCGCATAATGACGGTAGGGAAAGTAGAATGCCACTGAGTATAACGCCTAGTGCTAGCTTCTGGTAAAATAGAAGCTTGCTGCTCTGGAAATCGGCCAAGTGCTTGGCCATTTTAAATATACGCGTCGGACTTTTTCTCGTTGTGACGTGTTTTCTTCTGTTTACATTTGCTCAATTTATTACATAGCAACTACACGGTAACTACACATTTGCTACGTAATGAGAGGATAAAGAGGGTATGGACAGCACGCAACACGGCTCAGAAAATGCAACGCATGCAAGGTAAAATGCACCCAATTTGCCGAATATACCGTGAAGGCAAAATCGGTCACAAGCGAGGTGAGGTTCGTACGAATCTTGCAATTTGCCTTGGATGTTTTTGCCTGTTGTCCATACCCTTTTTATAGCATAGCCCATTCAAAATTACGACTCATTTTTTCGTCACAGGAGAGAGCATCAGTGCAAATCGGACTTATCGATAAAATATATAAAAAGATATAACCCACTTAACCCCCCTCTATTTTAACTTGAATTAAGCCGCGGAAAATAATACTGTTTGCAAATTCTTCTTGAGATCTATTCTTTCCTTTTTCCTTAAATGAGCACGATATCTTTCAATTGAACAACGCTAAAATTCTTCAAAATTCCTAATAGTGGAGTGCACCAGCTACCTCAGCACCGATTGGTTAATCTGCGCGCCAAATTGTAATTGTTTGAAAGTGAGCGACAAGGAAATGAATGGAGTAAATGGTGCAGGGAAGCTGGAAAAAGAAACCCGCGCATTGAAGTTGCTATACCTGGGTTCTTTAATATATACCTTTATAAATGCAATTGCAATTTATGCAATTCACCCATTAACTCGGGTGACATTGCACACATTATACAGTATTGTATAAAGTATTTATGTACATATATGTATAGTTAGTGGTCAAGTGCAGAAAGTATTCACTACAGTATTTGGTGTCTCCTGTCGACTGGAATATAAAGCGCGACGATTTGTTTCAACTGTTTTTTGTTTTTAATTTGTATATTTTGCAATTTAATGACTATTAAATATCTTTCGCTTTTAGTTGGTTTTTTCGTTGCCAGACATAGTTAAACGATGCTAATAACTAGACACGTGAAGGGTGCATAATATTTTATGTATACGATGCCATTAGATAATCCGTTACAAAATAAGAACGATTAAAATTCGGTCGGAGTTCAATAAATAATAACTTTGAGTTACACACGTAGCATTACTGCAAATAAAGGCCTACCATTGCCTGCATATCCGCATGTACTTAAATCGGGGGCCGTACACTAAGTATAATTTTAAATGCTCTCTATGTATGTGTATTTATTTACAAGCCACTTTGGTTGCGAATTGCTCATGCTCCTGCTGCTCCAGCTGGACACGCCTCAGTACAGATTGATCTTCTTGAGTATCGTTTTGCGGCACATGTGACACGTGCGCAACGTCTCGGCGCAGTGGGAGCAAGCCCCATGGCCGCACAAAAAGGCGACATCCCTTTTGCGCTCCATGCAAATGCCACAATAGTGCGATTCCTCGAACTCCTGCACTTTGTTCTCCAAGTACCGCAGGAGATCCCCCGATGGCTGACGGGCCGGATCACTGGGCGATGATGTGGACGGTTGCAGGGGGACTACCCGCCCGTTGGAGGTCACACGGCGTTCTATGAGCACACCACATTTTAGACATTTCTTCATGCGTATGCCGCACTCCTCGCAGGCGATTTGATGTTGGCACGGCTCGAAGCGCACCAGGGAAAGGATCTCATTGCACACGATGCACTCCAGTGGACCCGCGACCATGGCCGGACTAGGAGCCGGACCTGGCAGGGCGGCAGCCACAGCCCCGGCCACAAATGGCTTCTCTCCTGTGGCATTGGCTGTGGCTGTGCTGCTGCTTGAGGTAGCTGGCGGCTTGGGTGCCTTCTTGCGAGGCGCAACCTGTGGCGAAACATTTGGGGGTGCCGTCAATGGAGGGGTATCCGAATTTAGTTTCTTGACTCCCGGTGATGCAGATGGTGTTGCTGTTGCTACGGCTACTGATGGCGACGGCGTTGCTCCGGCCATATCGTTGGGCTTTGGCATTACATCTAGATGTTGGCGTTGAGGTGGCGGAGGAACGGGCGCCGCTCCGTTTGTTTCCGCGGCCCCAGATCCACCTCCCGTTGGCATTTCGTCTTCAGACATATCGAGGGCCTGCAAGCGCAGCAAGGCTGCGGCACTCGAGGATTCCGCCTCTGGCTGCTGCTGTCCAAAGATCATCTGCCTGATGTTGCGGTCGGTGATCCACTCGAATATGCTGGCATTGGCATTGTTCAGCTCCACGCGGCACCCGGCCCGCGACAGATAGATGAGTATGCTGTACATCAGACGATCCTCTGCGCGCACACTCGTCTGCACGAGACTCATGTAGAATTTGTGTATCTCGGGCGCCTCCTCGGGATTCGGTTCAGCTGCCGACTGCAGATTGGACTTTTTGATCACGCACACATGCATGGCATTGTCCCCGTCCTCGTCCTTGGCATTCACATCACATGATAGCCGCACGAGGCGCTCGATCACGCCGGCATGACCCTGCGAGACGGCCAGCAAGAACGGCGTCTGACGTCGATTGTTGCTGATGTCCAGCTCGGCCTGGCCCTCCGTGACGAGCGTCTCGACTACCTGTGCATGTCCATTGAGGGCGGCTAAATGCAGGGCTGCGAATCCATCGTCCTTTCGCACATTCACCAACTGCCGAGAGAGCTGCAGTATACGCCGTGCGGCCACCACATTCCCCTTGAGCGCCGCATGGTGCAGCACATTAAAGCCGCGATTGTTCTTCACCGTAAAATCCAGATTTGGGGCGTTGCACAGCAGCTCCACCACCTCGGTGTTCTCTTTGCCGATGGCATCGTGCAGTGCCGTATCGCCGTACGAGTCCTGAATGTTCACATTGGCCTGGTGCTGCAGCAGCTCTCGCACACAGTGTGGCGTCTTCTTGTGCGCACAAATGTGCAGCGCAGAGCAGTGGCTCGAGTTAAGGAAATTTACTTCGGCCCCGTGCTGCAGCAGGACACGCATTGTGGCCGGCTGATTGCCAAAGGCGGCATAATGGAGCGCCGAGTCGCCCTCCTTGTCCACCGCATTCACATTGGCGCCTTTGGAGATGAGGTAGCTGACCAGCTCGACGTAGCCCTGATGAGAGGCCACCTGTATGCACGCCTTGCCCCCGCTCATGACATCCACTTGGGTGGGATTCATGTCCAGATATTGGCGCACAAATTCTAGATGCCCCTGGGCCGCTTCGCGCACTAGTTTATCCGCCACAGAGCTGCCCGAGAGGCCGGAGAGGGGTGTCATTACATGATCGGCACGCCGATGGCTCAGATCCATCATGCTGTTGGAGCGTTCTGCAGCCGTGGCCAAAGGCGAACGCTCCAGTTTGACACATTTGGGATTCAGGGTCCACTCGAAGCCATCATCCAGCTGCTGAATGCGCAGATCCCCATCCGAGTAGACTTTCACCACTTTGCAGATTTTACCTAAAGCCTGAAAAGGGAAACAAAGAGACAATTCTTATTGGAAATCTACGGATTACGAATCTCCTGGCCTCCGCTTACATATCGCATAATATCAATCCATTCGCCATGACCTTTCTGCAGCTGTTGGACCTTGTTGGCATCGTTGATGATGGTCACCAGATCCCCCACACGAAAGGAGACAACTTTTACGAGTGCAGCGGGATGGAAGGTCCATCGATTGGGACAGTTTTCATATTGCACCCTGTCAGAAGAATAAATCATAACAAGAATCCTCTCAGAGGAACAAAGCTGTACTTCTTACCGTATATCTCCTTTATCGGTGATCCTATGGACTGTTCCCAGCTTGGCCAGATGCTCGACCATTCGCGGATTCCAACCGCCGTGGCCCTGCTGTAGTTTCATGAGGGCATCTACCTCCAGGCAAACCTTGACCCGATCGCCCACAGAGAAGCTTGGCTTCACCATCGGCGCCACCGGTTGCTGCTCCTCCGGCTGGCCCAGCACTGGCATGTGATCCTTGTAGTAGTGGCCGCCGCCAGTGGCCGATATGTACTTGAGGTCGACGTTGCCCTTGTGCCCCAGACGATAGACGTTCGTTGAGCCCGTTACCCACGAAACGTTGGCTACACTGCGACAGGATTCGTTGTCCCAGCCACGGATTTCCATAACACGACCCGTCCTGCCCTCGCCGCCGTCCTGGTCGTTCCACTCCCAGTCCGGGCCGCGCACAACCTTCGAGCCAACGAAAATTCCACGCAATTGAATGCGCTTCGACCCCTTGCGCGTTGGCACACGTACGCCCAGGGAATTGGGCGTGGTATATCTGATAAAGGGATGCTCCAGATCGTGCAGATCCTCGGCGTAGCAAAAGGCACACAGATGATAATTGGCACACTGCGCACACTTGAAGACAATGCCCGCTATGCCGGCCTTCGAGCAGCCATCGCAGACGACGTTTGAATGACGAACGCCTGCCAGGAATGCCATATTCATAATGATTTCTGATGATATCTGAGGGATGGAGGCACACTTACCAACTTGAGCGTTATCCACAATTATCAAATCGTATTGACTCTGATAGCCCACACGGTAGTTGGTGCGATGTCCCGAATCCCAGTTGACGACAACGGTGTTCTCTGGTGAATGTGAGGATCCGCAACGGCCAATTTCGCAAACGGTCCCAACGTGACCTTCTCCGTCGTCTGTTGCGCAAGCAATGAAAAGCAATGAGAGAGAGAGTGCAGGGAGAACACGATTTGTTAGAGAGTAGAGGTTTTGGTTCTGGCTTCCTCCCTCCCTTCCGGGATATAAAGAACGTTCTGTGGCGCATCCGGTGGCAAGACTTCCTCCCCTTGAGGCTTCTATGCTTCCCCTCTATAAACAACACGCTATAAATACATTTAATCATTGACTCTGGGGAGCTCCAATCCCCCGATTCGGTTATGCACTCAAAATGAAACAGCAACAGCAGCAGCTGCCTCTTATAATTATATACACACACAAACAGACAGACACGCTTCTAGTCCTGTCTTGGGTCTAGAGAGGGTGACATGGCAAGCAGCAGGATTGGGGGCCGCCTCAGAAGCGGATTTGTATATGCCCCAAAAATAAAACTCTCCAAACACTCGTGTCTCTGCCTGCCTGCCTGCCACAGTGCAGCCCCTGGAGCTGTTGCACACGATCCCCCCGTCCGCTTCTATAAATAAACACTCCACAAAAATGTTGGAGACAAAATGGCACGCGCCCTTGCGCGGCTCCGATGCCGCCGTCTGACATGACAGCCGCCAGACGTTTATGCCCGCAGGCGGCACGGCAGTATTTGGCTTTTTCAGGGAAAGACGGAGCCGAAAGACACATACCATGACCTAATCTGTTTATACGGACGGTTCCGACGAATGTGCATATATTGTAAGTATTTATGGGTAGAAACTCCACAGATGTGCAGCTGCAGCTGCAAATGGGAGCCCACTATACGCTCTATAGAACTATTAGTCACGAGAATTTCTAGAGGAAGGCATATTTCTCTTGCAGTTAAAGATAGGAATTGACAATGGCAGATTAAAGTCCTACCAAAGGGACAAGAAAATTGTATGGAAGTACAATTGGAACAATCTATATAGCACTTCTTACAATGCTTTTTCTAAACCCGAAGCGACTTTCTTCGCGAAGCAGACACTTTGAGAACATTTCCAATTCTCAATCCCAAAGAAAACTTTTCGCAAGTTGTCTCTAAACGTTTTTTAACGCTTTTTTCCATATTTTCTGTGTGGTCGATCATAAAAGAGCTCCCTCAAGGACAGAGAAGTCCAGAAATATACAGAGAAAATGGAAAACCCAGGAATGAAGTAAATAAGTGGCCCTATAGCCATTCTTATATTGAGTTTCTCTTGATGATTAGATAGAATATAGGAGATTTCCTTAAGTTGTGGATCATTTTTGAACTAGTACATTTAAGTCCTGTTTATGTGATATATTTATTATTATGAATAGTAAATGGAATAGCTACAGTTATGACTACCTTGTGCCTATATACATGATTTGCATAACACTTTAAGACTCTTATTCTATAAGAAGACGTTGCAAAAGACCTGTTTCAGAGCAGTTTTATACCTTCTAATCTATAAATATTCCTCTTGTCCCAAAGTATTATTCTTTGGCCTATAATTAACACTCTATAAAAGCTCTATCCTACTTACATATTTCAGACCTCTTCAACTAATCGCCCCCGTAATTGAAGGGTATTCAAAACGAATATAGCACCACTGAAACACATTCATGTACGAGTATGTGATAATTGTTCACACAACAAAAAGTACAACAGATATGAATGGTTAAAAGCATTAATTGAATTAATAACTACGGAATAATGTAATCTTATTTCCAGCGAATGAATTTCACTGCCATATCTGTATACATATGTATATTACCGAAAATACATATATGTATATGTACATATCTATATCTACCATAGGTATATATAGAATGAAGCGAGGGAAAGCAAAAAGCAATTGGTAAGCGAAAAGAATTTCGCTGGCGCATTGAGTGTTGCTATAAATAGAGAGGCGCGTCCTCTTTTTACACACAACAACGCCCTGAGCAACGAAACGCAACGCAAGGCATCATGCCACACCGTACACCGTACCGTCCCCGTGTGCTCCCATGTACGATACACAGGGCGCCAGAGCGTCAGAGTTTTTTAGGATATACAAATTCTCCATTCCATATTTTCTCCATATTCCATATTCTTACCTTGATTCGACCATATCCAATTGGGTCCGCGAACTACACGTATGCCGGGCGGAATGGAGGCTCGCATGGCTCGTTTCCTAATTAAAATTTTATATAATTTCTTCTGGCGGGGCTGTCTGCTGCGTTTCGTTATTCGGAAATACTTCGATTCGGTTTGTGCGGCTACTGCAAGAAGGAGAATACACCCAGATATGACATTTGACATTAGATTTCGGTGGCCGAGGTGCTGGATGGGAGTTGAGAGTTCTCTTTGGATGGGGACCTGGTTAATATTTGGGTCAGATAACTGGTACAAAGTCAGCGCATGACTAAAAGGCACAACACAACCAGCACAGCACAGCAAAGCACATATTCTGTATATTCTGTATATGGAAATGTACATGGTAGTACCTGAGGAAACTGCAATGCAATGCCATCCAATCGGTTGCATATTGCAAATGGATGGGATGGACCGACTGACTGTTCAACGGATATGGAATTAGAAGGTCTCATGACCATCATTGTGTATGGAACTAACACCACATCATGGTGCGGGAGTTTTCGGACGGACGGGCATATGACGCATGGCGATAAGACATATGGAGGGGATACATTTGTACATATGTATGTATATACGAGTGTATATTTCTTGTGGTCTCTCTCTCTGAATGATAATAATAAGTGAATGGGACACTCAGCACTTTGGGATAATACAAAAAGCAAATATATAATTGACCCGCATGTTGTTTACGAACACACACACACACGCACGGACGCACACAAAAAGTATATACAGTATATATGTATATACCATGAAAAAAGATTATTATTTTGGGGGCCAATTGCTTACCGAATGCAATTTCTAGACACTGTGTCACGTATAATCACTTTTCCCCCAGCTGTTTCCGCTTAATTTAAGGCTCAAGTTTTCGTCTTGGCTCTAATGTTGCATTTTTATGCGCGCGTGCGCTTTTTTAATTGGCATTTAATGTTTCCCTAATGTTTCCTCACTTGAAACCGTTGCTACGGCCCACAGTTTAAGGCATTCTCGTTTACTGTCTCTTTCACTTGATGCTCTTTTGAGTATTAGCACACACCAGCATCGCACTAGTCCGCCGTTCACTGTAAACCAAACACTTCAATTTAGTTTATATTTCCAAAAAAATTTACAATTTTGCTAGCTACTACAACTAAAATTTGGCTTTCTTCTTCTTTTTTTAGGTCTGGCCTAAAGATGGCAGTGCAAATTACTGGCGTCTATCGATGTATTCGATATGCATCCTTGGTATCGAAAGCCCACGCCAGTACGTCAATGCCCCACACAACAATCGCAAACACATGTTCAATGTTTGTGTAAATTTTGGCCAAAGCAAACACTAAATTAAGTCATTTAATTATATTCCTATTCATTTGCTCGAGCGGGTGATGAAAAGGGCTACCACAATGGATCAGTTGACATACACCACAGCCGTTAAAAAGGGTAAATAAAGCAATGAACAGTGAACAATAAAATGTTCAAGCATTTCACATTTCTTTCAGCACAACTGGTGGAGAGAAATCCACAGTCTCTTTTAGATCCCTTGCGAGTTTCTATGCATGACCAGGAGGACATCATTGCTTTGGCTCAACAAATCCAGAATGCGGACAAGCAACTCAAACACACCACTTGTCACAAACTTGGAGTAATAATGGATCAAGTAAGATTGTTTTCCAACTCAAATGAATATGAATTATATAAATTGTAATCCTAGATCAAGATGCTGCAAGCACAGGCCATGGAAATATTGAAAGAGTCCAATGTGAGCCGTGACCTGCACAATGCCGCTTGCAACTTTACCAAAAAACCTGGACAAATCTATCATCTTTATCAAAGGGCATCAGGTCAAACGTATTTCAGCATGCTCTCGCCGGAAGTAAGTCTGCCAATCCACAATGCATGTACAGCAGATTTAACCATACCAGTGATACATTTTCAGGAATGGAATCATTCGGTAGACCAGACGTACAAAGGTAGCTATAGACTCGAATTTGATTTAAGTTGGACACCGCTGGACAAGATAAAACAGCAAGACGAAAGGCTCAAATGGGCGGAGGAATGCATGGAGAAGGCATTGGACAGTGGACGCTCGGCTATGGCTATTGACTTTAATATTAACAATGAATAAAATAGTTTAATTTGAATAAATTTAAATATCGTATAAATCGATATCTACAACTATCGCATACGATTGACAACTAGCTGCATCGATAGGGGCGTAAAAGCTATCGATAGGGTTAGTACATCTCTATTTCTGTTTTGTTTTCACTGCAACAGCTGTGGTTTTTGTGAAATTTTCTATATTTATTTTCGTTTGTTTTGTTCCGTTGGACGTCGATTTCAGACACGTAATATGTCCGCTGCAAAGAACGAAATGTATTACAGCCTGCTCGAGTGGTTTAAAACCCTCAATTTGAATGCACCCCACGCAGATGCTGAATCACTGGCAGACGGTGTAGCCGTGGCCCAGGCGCTGAATCAATTCGCCCCCGAATCTTTCACAGACTCGTGGCTGGCGAAAATCAAAGCCAGTGCCGTGGGCATCAACTGGCGTTTGCGTATGAGTAATCTAAAGAAAGTCACACAATCGCTCTACGACTACTACAGCGAGGTCCTTAACTACACCCTCAGCGACTTTGTGAAGCCCGATGTGCAGCGCATTGCCGAGAAATGCGACCTGGTCGAGCTGGAGCGTTTGCTCCAGCTGGTCTTGGGCTGTGCGGTCAACTGTGCCAAAAAGCAATCGTACATAACCGAGATCATGTGCTTGGAAGAGGAGCTACAGGCGAATATCATGAGAGCACTCCAGGAGCTGAAGCCATCATCCAGCTGCTGAATGCGCAGATCCCCATCCGAGTAGACTTTCACCACTTTGCAGATTTTACCTAAAGCCTGAAAAGGGAAACAAAGAGACAATTCTTATTGGAAATCTACGGATTACGAATCTCCTGGCCTCCGCTTACATATCGCATAATATCAATCCATTCGCCATGACCTTTCTGCAGCTGTTGGACCTTGTTGGCATCGTTGATGATGGTCACCAGATCCCCCACACGAAAGGAGACAACTTTTACGAGTGCAGCGGGATGGAAGGTCCATCGATTGGGACAGTTTTCATATTGCACCCTGTCAGAAGAATAAATCATAACAAGAATCCTCTCAGAGGAACAAAGCTGTACTTCTTACCGTATATCTCCTTTATCGGTGATCCTATGGACTGTTCCCAGCTTGGCCAGATGCTCGACCATTCGCGGATTCCAACCGCCGTGGCCCTGCTGTAGTTTCATGAGGGCATCTACCTCCAGGCAAACCTTGACCCGATCGCCCACAGAGAAGCTTGGCTTCACCATCGGCGCCACCGGTTGCTGCTCCTCCGGCTGGCCCAGCACTGGCATGTGATCCTTGTAGTAGTGGCCGCCGCCAGTGGCCGATATGTACTTGAGGTCGACGTTGCCCTTGTGCCCCAGACGATAGACGTTCGTTGAGCCCGTTACCCACGAAACGTTGGCTACACTGCGACAGGATTCGTTGTCCCAGCCACGGATTTCCATAACACGACCCGTCCTGCCCTCGCCGCCGTCCTGGTCGTTCCACTCCCAGTCCGGGCCGCGCACAACCTTCGAGCCAACGAAAATTCCACGCAATTGAATGCGCTTCGACCCCTTGCGCGTTGGCACACGTACGCCCAGGGAATTGGGCGTGGTATATCTGATAAAGGGATGCTCCAGATCGTGCAGATCCTCGGCGTAGCAAAAGGCACACAGATGATAATTGGCACACTGCGCACACTTGAAGACAATGCCCGCTATGCCGGCCTTCGAGCAGCCATCGCAGACGACGTTTGAATGACGAACGCCTGCCAGGAATGCCATATTCATAATGATTTCTGATGATATCTGAGGGATGGAGGCACACTTACCAACTTGAGCGTTATCCACAATTATCAAATCGTATTGACTCTGATAGCCCACACGGTAGTTGGTGCGATGTCCCGAATCCCAGTTGACGACAACGGTGTTCTCTGGTGAATGTGAGGATCCGCAACGGCCAATTTCGCAAACGGTCCCAACGTGACCTTCTCCGTCGTCTGTTGCGCAAGCAATGAAAAGCAATGAGAGAGAGAGTGCAGGGAGAACACGATTTGTTAGAGAGTAGAGGTTTTGGTTCTGGCTTCCTCCCTCCCTTCCGGGATATAAAGAACGTTCTGTGGCGCATCCGGTGGCAAGACTTCCTCCCCTTGAGGCTTCTATGCTTCCCCTCTATAAACAACACGCTATAAATACATTTAATCATTGACTCTGGGGAGCTCCAATCCCCCGATTCGGCTATGCACTCAAAATGAAACAGCAACAGCAGCAGCAGCTGCCTCTTATAATTATATACACACACAAACAGACAGACACGCTTCTAGTCCTGTCTTGGGTCTAGAGAGGGTGACATGGCAAGCAGCAGGATTGGGGGCCGCCTCAGAAGCGGATTTGTATATGCCCCAAAAATAAAACTCTCCAAACACTCGTGTCTCTGCCTGCCTGCCTGCCACAGTGCAGCCCCTGGAGCTGTTGCACACGATCCCCCCGTCCGCTTCTATAAATAAACACTCCACAAAAATGTTGGAGACAAAATGGCACGCGCCCTTGCGCGGCTCCGATGCCGCCGTCTGACATGACAGCCGCCAGACGTTTATGCCCGCAGGCGGCACGGCAGTATTTGGCTTTTTCAGGGAAAGACGGAGCCGAAAGACACATACCATGACCTAATCTGTTTATACGGACGGTTCCGACGAATGTGCATATATTGTAAGTATTTATGGGTAGAAACTCCACAGATGTGCAGCTGCAGCTGCAAATGGGAGCCCACTATACGCTCTATAGAACTATTAGTCACGAGAATTTCTAGAGGAAGGCATATTTCTCTTGCAGTTAAAGATAGGAATTGACAATGGCAGATTAAAGTCCTACCAAAGGGACAAGAAAATTGTATGGAAGTACAATTGGAACAATCTATATAGCACTTCTTACAATGCTTTTTCTAAACCCGAAGCGACTTTCTTCGCGAAGCAGACACTTTGAGAACATTTCCAATTCTCAATCCCAAAGAAAACTTTTCGCAAGTTGTCTCTAAACGTTTTTTAACGCTTTTTTCCATATTTTCTGTGTGGTCGATCATAAAAGAGCTCCCTCAAGGACAGAGAAGTCCAGAAATATACAGAGAAAATGGAAAACCCAGGAATGAAGTAAATAAGTGGCCCTATAGCCATTCTTATATTGAGTTTCTCTTGATGATTAGATAGAATATAGGAGATTTCCTTAAGTTGTGGATCATTTTTGAACTAGTACATTTAAGTCCTGTTTATGTGATATATTTATTATTATGAATAGTAAATGGAATAGCTACAGTTATGACTACCTTGTGCCTATATACATGATTTGCATAACACTTTAAGACTCTTATTCTATAAGAAGACGTTGCAAAAGACCTGTTTCAGAGCAGTTTTATACCTTCTAATCTATAAATATTCCTCTTGTCCCAAAGTATTATTCTTTGGCCTATAATTAACACTCTATAAAAGCTCTATCCTACTTACATATTTCAGACCTCTTCAACTAATCGCCCCCGTAATTGAAGGGTATTCAAAACGAATATAGCACCACTGAAACACATTCATGTACGAGTATGTGATAATTGTTCACACAACAAAAAGTACAACAGATATGAATGGTTAAAAGCATTAATTGAATTAATAACTACGGAATAATGTAATCTTATTTCCAGCGAATGAATTTCACTGCCATATCTGTATACATATGTATATTACCGAAAATACATATATGTATATGTACATATCTATATCTACCATAGGTATATATAGAATGAAGCGAGGGAAAGCAAAAAGCAATTGGTAAGCGAAAAGAATTTCGCTGGCGCATTGAGTGTTGCTATAAATAGAGAGGCGCGTCCTCTTTTTACACACAACAACGCCCTGAGCAACGAAACGCAACGCAAGGCATCATGCCACACCGTACACCGTACCGTCCCCGTGTGCTCCCATGTACGATACACAGGGCGCCAGAGCGTCAGAGTTTTTTAGGATATACAAATTCTCCATTCCATATTTTCTCCATATTCCATATTCTTACCTTGATTCGACCATATCCAATTGGGTCCGCGAACTACACGTATGCCGGGCGGAATGGAGGCTCGCATGGCTCGTTTCCTAATTAAAATTTTATATAATTTCTTCTGGCGGGGCTGTCTGCTGCGTTTCGTTATTCGGAAATACTTCGATTCGGTTTGTGCGGCTACTGCAAGAAGGAGAATACACCCAGATATGACATTTGACATTAGATTTCGGTGGCCGAGGTGCTGGATGGGAGTTGAGAGTTCTCTTTGGATGGGGACCTGGTTAATATTTGGGTCAGATAACTGGTACAAAGTCAGCGCATGACTAAAAGGCACAACACAACCAGCACAGCACAGCAAAGCACATATTCTGTATATTCTGTATATGGAAATGTACATGGTAGTACCTGAGGAAACTGCAATGCAATGCCATCCAATCGGTTGCATATTGCAAATGGATGGGATGGACCGACTGACTGTTCAACGGATATGGAATTAGAAGGTCTCATGACCATCATTGTGTATGGAACTAACACCACATCATGGTGCGGGAGTTTTCGGACGGACGGGCATATGACGCATGGCGATAAGACATATGGAGGGGATACATTTGTACATATGTATGTATATACGAGTGTATATTTCTTGTGGTCTCTCTCTCTGAATGATAATAATAAGTGAATGGGACACTCAGCACTTTGGGATAATACAAAAAGCAAATATATAATTGACCCGCATGTTGTTTACGAACACACACACACACGCACGGACGCACACAAAAAGTATATACAGTATATATGTATATACCATGAAAAAAGATTATTATTTTGGGGGCCAATTGCTTACCGAATGCAATTTCTAGACACTGTGTCACGTATAATCACTTTTCCCCCAGCTGTTTCCGCTTAATTTAAGGCTCAAGTTTTCGTCTTGGCTCTAATGTTGCATTTTTATGCGCGCGTGCGCTTTTTTAATTGGCATTTAATGTTTCCCTAATGTTTCCTCACTTGAAACCGTTGCTACGGCCCACAGTTTAAGGCATTCTCGTTTACTGTCTCTTTCACTTGATGCTCTTTTGAGTATTAGCACACACCAGCATCGCACTAGTCCGCCGTTCACTGTAAACCAAACACTTCAATTTAGTTTATATTTCCAAAAAAATTTACAATTTTGCTAGCTACTACAACTAAAATTTGGCTTTCTTCTTCTTTTTTTAGGTCTGGCCTAAAGATGGCAGTGCAAATTACTGGCGTCTATCGATGTATTCGATATGCATCCTTGGTATCGAAAGCCCACGCCAGTACGTCAATGCCCCACACAACAATCGCAAACACATGTTCAATGTTTGTGTAAATTTTGGCCAAAGCAAACACTAAATTAAGTCATTTAATTATATTCCTATTCATTTGCTCGAGCGGGTGATGAAAAGGGCTACCACAATGGATCAGTTGACATACACCACAGCCGTTAAAAAGGGTAAATAAAGCAATGAACAGTGAACAATAAAATGTTCAAGCATTTCACATTTCTTTCAGCACAACTGGTGGAGAGAAATCCACAGTCTCTTTTAGATCCCTTGCGAGTTTCTATGCATGACCAGGAGGACATCATTGCTTTGGCTCAACAAATCCAGAATGCGGACAAGCAACTCAAACACACCACTTGTCACAAACTTGGAGTAATAATGGATCAAGTAAGATTGTTTTCCAACTCAAATGAATATGAATTATATAAATTGTAATCCTAGATCAAGATGCTGCAAGCACAGGCCATGGAAATATTGAAAGAGTCCAATGTGAGCCGTGACCTGCACAATGCCGCTTGCAACTTTACCAAAAAACCTGGACAAATCTATCATCTTTATCAAAGGGCATCAGGTCAAACGTATTTCAGCATGCTCTCGCCGGAAGTAAGTCTGCCAATCCACAATGCATGTACAGCAGATTTAACCATACCAGTGATACATTTTCAGGAATGGAATCATTCGGTAGACCAGACGTACAAAGGTAGCTATAGACTCGAATTTGATTTAAGTTGGACACCGCTGGACAAGATAAAACAGCAAGACGAAAGGCTCAAATGGGCGGAGGAATGCATGGAGAAGGCATTGGACAGTGGACGCTCGGCTATGGCTATTGACTTTAATATTAACAATGAATAAAATAGTTTAATTTGAATAAATTTAAATATCGTATAAATCGATATCTACAACTATCGCATACGATTGACAACTAGCTGCATCGATAGGGGCGTAAAAGCTATCGATAGGGTTAGTACATCTCTATTTCTGTTTTGTTTTCACTGCAACAGCTGTGGTTTTTGTGAAATTTTCTATATTTATTTTCGTTTGTTTTGTTCCGTTGGACGTCGATTTCAGACACGTAATATGTCCGCTGCAAAGAACGAAATGTATTACAGCCTGCTCGAGTGGTTTAAAACCCTCAATTTGAATGCACCCCACGCAGATGCTGAATCACTGGCAGACGGTGTAGCCGTGGCCCAGGCGCTGAATCAATTCGCCCCCGAATCTTTCACAGACTCGTGGCTGGCGAAAATCAAAGCCAGTGCCGTGGGCATCAACTGGCGTTTGCGTATGAGTAATCTAAAGAAAGTCACACAATCGCTCTACGACTACTACAGCGAGGTCCTTAACTACACCCTCAGCGACTTTGTGAAGCCCGATGTGCAGCGCATTGCCGAGAAATGCGACCTGGTCGAGCTGGAGCGTTTGCTCCAGCTGGTCTTGGGCTGTGCGGTCAACTGTGCCAAAAAGCAATCGTACATAACCGAGATCATGTGCTTGGAAGAGGAGCTACAGGCGAATATCATGAGAGCACTCCAGGAGCTGGAGTCCTCTCGAAATGCCGCGGAGGGAGGTATCGTCACGTCACTTTCGCGCAGTTCCATCAGTGGAATGCTGGATGGCAAGGTCCTGCAAGAAGAGCGCGATGCCATGGCCCAGAAATGTTTCGAAACCGAGAAGAAAATGCTGCTGCTGATCGACGAGAAGACAAACCTACAGCAGGAACTGCAGAGGGTTCAGAAGGAGTTTGCGCGTCTGGAGCACAGCTCCACAGTCATTGGCGATGATGGTGTTTCGTTGGGGCCCGTGCAAACGGGCTCTGTGCGCTACAACGAGCTGCGGCGACAGCTCGATCTGCTTAAAGAAGAGCTCTTGCAGTCGGAGGGTGCTCGCGAGGATTTAAAGCTGAAGGCCCAGCAGCAGGAGACCGACCTGTTGCACATGCAAATGCGGATAGATGAACTTTTGGTAGGGATCAGTAAATTTAAGTAAAACTTGAGTTTGGTGTAATTCTATTTTCCACAGAAAAGCACTGCTGAGGTGACAACTCTCAAGGATGAAGTAGACGTGCTGCGGGAATCGAATGACAAGCTGAAGATTTGCGAAGGACAGCTGGACACGTACAAAAAGAAGCTGGAGGACTACAATGACTTGAAAAAGCAGGTGAAAATCCTAGAGGAGCGCAGCGCGGACTATGTGCAGCAGAACGCCCAGTTCGAGGAGGATGCCAAGCGATATGCCAACACCAAGGGGCAGATAGAGCTGTTCAAGAAGGAGATCCAGGATCTGCACACAAAGCTGGACAGCGAGAGCAGCAAGAATGTGAAGTTGGAGTTTGACAACAAGAATCTGGAGGGCAAGAATCTGGCCCTGCAGCGGGCCAAAGATAGCTTGCTAAAAGAACGTGACAATCTTCGCGAGACCGTCGACGAGCTCAAGTGCGGGCATCTGTCTTCCAATTCGGGCCTCACTGGCACCACAGTTTCCCGGGAGCTGCAACCCCCAGCCACAGTGGAGAAGATGCAGCGCCTCGAGGCGGAAAACAAAGCTTTGCGCGAAGGGCAGGGCGGTCAAACGGCTTTGGCGGTGAGTTTTAGAAGATCCTGTAACGCTTTCTCTATACATTTCATTATTTTGCAATGCAGCAACTTCTGGATGATGCCAACAAACGCTGCGAGAATCTACGCGAGCAGCTAAAGACGGCCAATGAGCGCATACTCTCCCTGTCCCATGCCTCCCAGAGCGACGATCCCATACTGAAAGAGTAACTAAACATTCAATATGCCATTAAATATGTGAAACAAACATTTCTTTGGATTGCAGAAGCGAATTTGGCAAGCAAATCAAACAGCTGATGGAGCTCAATGAACAAAAGAGTGAGACTTCTAGAAGTACTTAATAAACAGGGAATCAACTTTAGTTTAAACTTTCTTGCAGCCCTTCAATTGGAGGAGTCGGTGACGCAGAGCTCCTCGCTGCAATGCAAGGTCACGCAGCTGGAAACTAATCTGACTGCTCGCGAGCAGGAAGTAATGGCGTACGATGCGAAATACCGAAAATGTTTGGAAAAGGCCAAGGAGGTTATCAAGAGCTTCGATCCGCGTATAGCCAGTGGTATTTATAGCCTCAAAAATACCTAAGAAAATGCATTAAAACATTCATTTAATTTGCAGCAATCGATGCAAGTGCCTTGGAGAAGTATTTCGATGTCGTTGAGGAGGAGCCAAAGCCAAAAATGAGCGTTATGGAAGAGCAATTGATGACCTCGGCCTTCTACCGATTGGGTGTCAATGCCCAGCGCGATGCTGTTGATTCTAAATTGGCAATATTAATGGGCTCGGGACAGACATTTCTGGCACGCCAGCGACAGTCGGCGCCGCGCAAGTCACTGAGTGCAATGAAATCGAAGTAGGGGGCTGCATGAATTCTAGCACGAGCATTCGATTCGGTTGGATTAAGTTAAGGACATATTTCATCGCCAGGGGTTTGTTTGAACATTTATATAAATAATATATATATATAACGCAAGTATTTATTCGATATCCGCATGGATCTGATCTGATCGTATAGTATTTTTGTAGGAAATACGTTAATAAAGTTACAAAGAAAGACAATTATCCAAATTAAGCAAACGACGTGTTTTGAATCAACCGCCAAAAAAGTTCTGCAAGACTTCGATCTGGCAGTGCCGTCCTTGGAACGATCAACGATCATAGTCGAAATTGAAATGAAAATAATTCAAAAAACCACCATCATTGTTTTTGTAAATATCTTAGTTTTAGTATAGAATTAAATACATTTAACGCATAGTTCAGGGCAAAAAACATACATATTCATAGGTAAATCATATGGTCGGCTCTCCATGTTCTCTCGATCCATATAAATCTATCCAAAGAATCTCTTCCTTGGGCATTGGCACACGTAAAAAATGCAATTCAGAAAAGGAGTTTCATAGACGAGCAGTTATAACAATAGGTTTCTGATCCAGCCATCCATTCTTTTTGCGTTTGGGGGGCGGTCCGCCGGTTGCCGGCGACACCATTTACCATCACCATATAAGCAACAAACTTGTGCAGTCTACATACATACTTGGTACATAAAATCTAGCTTCATCTTCCATTCACCATGGCCGCCACATGCTCTCATCCTGGCCAGGACCGGGCTGTCCGGCTGCTCCAGCTTGCGCCATATAGTGGTACTCCTCCTCCTGACGCTGCCTCAGCGCCTGGCGCGCTGCACTGCTCGTCTGCGGCCGCGGACTGGCCTCCAATGCCTCGTTCTCATTGGAGCCGATGCCACTCTCTGATCGCGGCGATGACTGCTGCGTTGCAGGCATCGACTTAAGCTCCGACACGGAGACTCCAGAGCTAACCGAAGCGGCCACTGAGGCGGGCCGTTCTGCCGCGACTGTCATGGCCGAGACGGTGGCTCCCGCGGAAGCGGCCACTGCCATGCTGTTGGCATACGCAGCCGCAGCGGCAGCAGCCACATGAGCCGCCTCCAGTCCGCCGGGAAAGTTGGGACTCAGTTTGCCCGCCAAATGCGGCTGGACACGCTGCAGCTCGATCAGGCGCTCAAAGTCCGTGCGCGTGGCAATCGGATCGACCAGGGGCTGGGCACTGAGGCCCAGAGCCGCCGCCAGTTGCACGTAGTGGGGAGGGAGGACGAGCACACCGTTGGCGCTGTCGGGCTGCTGGATCTGCTGGGCCTGCTTCAGCTGCTGCTTGTACTGCTCGAGGACATTGGCACATACTTTACTACGATCGTCTTCGTAGCTCAGCTCCGAGACGACGCTGCTGGTCGCTACTCCAGGGTCCACCTGCGATTGGATCTGTGGGGGAATCTGTGGAATCTGCTGGCCACGATTGTTGTTCTCGTCCTGTGGCGCTGGCGTCGTGGCCTGCATGAGTCGCTGATCGGCCCCCAGCTTTAGGCCCTTGCTGTAGTCGAGGGGATTCGAGTCCTGGCTGCTGTAGTCCAGCGAATGCTCGTCCGGCTGCGATTTCTTCGAGTTGTTCAGATCGAAGCAGCTGCTGCTGCTCGGACTCTCCACAAAATTGGCCGTCGAATGGGGACAAATTTCCACATCGATCTCCGCTATGCACTGATCCAGGTGCCGCAGCAAGCGCGCCTTGGAACCTGGCTCCCCCAACGTTGGCATGCTGCCCATTGGCGGGGGCTCTGGCGTGGCCAAATAACGAGCCACCTCTCGAGCACAGTCCGTATATCCCGCTCGATACTTGTTGACAGCTGCAGGGATAGAAAATTCATTCAATAAGCTACGTGTTACATGAGTGAATGGCATCATGCCGAAACACTCACAAGGATCATCGAGGTTGCGATGCCTCTGGAAGTGTCGCACTGTCAGCTCTAGGATGTCCGCCTTCTCCAGCTTCGTGTGCTTGGCCTGGCCCTCGCCGTTCTTCGCACTCTGACTCTTTGTGGACTCGAGAATGAGGGCCTTCAGGATGGCCAGGCTCTGGTTGATTCGCGCCCTTCGTCGCTTCTCCATGAGTGGTTTATTTGTACGCTTGCTGATGTCCTGCGAGGAGGTTACATTCTGCGTGGAGCTCACCAGCCCAATGGACTTTATGCCGCTGCCATTGGCGGTCGAGCCGGCGGCGGTGAATCCGATGCCTAGAAAACAAAAAGAAAACGAAAGCCAATGATTAGGTGGGGAGCTCTAGCCATGACATAGACCAGGACAAACATACTTTGAACATATCGGAAATTAAATTTGTATTAATCCTTTTTCTTGGTGAAGGCCGTTTAATCTGGAGAACGACCCCCGAAACGGAGTGCATAATAGTGCTAATACGGCTCTACCATTTCTCATTTCTTTAAGGATCGTTCTCTAAAGAATTTTTAATGGAATAGATCCACTTTAAAATAGGGAAGTATAAACTTTGTAAACTTCAATTGGACGAGACTATCAGACCTTTGGGGATATTAAGAGTCTGTTCCCTGTTCAATGGTCATTGAAAAGAGATTGAAAATAGTTTTGAAATTTGAATTTTCATTAAATCTCTTTCTTCTTTCTAGGGGTATAAGTCCAGGACTTCATTTTCTTTTTAGTTTAGCCGAGAACTACGAAGATACCCATTGAAAATCTTGATAAATAGTTAACGTATACCTAATATAATCCAATCACATTTTGCAAACCAAAATATATGCAAAACTTCAGATTATCCCAATATTCTGCAGCTATTTTTTGGCATCAAAACGGAAAATCGAAAAACAGAATCAGCTCTTCAAACATAAGCCAGGAAGCTCCAGGTGTTAAGGCGTCTACAGGTGTTTATTTCTGTGAAACGCACTGTATTTTCCCTTGGATGAATTATTTGGCAAATGGATTGCATATCTTTGGAACAACTAAATGTGAATTTATTGTAGAATAAAGCTGAATATTGGCTATATTTTCCGATGTTTTTAAAATAATGATAAGCTGATTGAATATTCTTAGATAAGAGGCCTTGAACTAAAACGTTTATCCGTGATTAAAGGATAATCGTTTACTTTAAATAAAATATCCATAAAATAAGTTATTGAAGAGAGGGATCTTGAAGCGTTTAAACTTTTTTATAAGGGTTTCTTTTCTATTTTTTTAAGTATTATTATTTTAAAATCCGCTTTCAAAGTCTTCCTTTGCTCTAAAGATCCTTTAAAAGTGTGTGTTTACCAGTTGCCGATTTATTTTTCGAATAATCCTTATCACGTTTTGCTGTCATTTTCTCATTTTTACGGAATTCACATGAATTCTTCTTTGCGCCAGAGATTAGTTTTCAGAGAGGTTTTCACTATAAATTTTCCTTTCAGTAAAATCCGTTTTTCCTTGGAAATTTTCAAGATTATTTCTCGTCGGATTGCACGCCACAGACAGAAATGTTACGTCTTTTGGGGTTCCGTTCCGCTTGTGATTTCTTCAGAGGAATTTCCGTATGCCAAAGGAAGCAGACGACGTCCGTATGGGTCGACGGTTCACGGCTAACTGACGGTAAAAGCAAAGCCAAAGCGTAGCTGCGAATTTTTCAACGTTTTTCAACTGTTTGCCGCCGGTTGGCTCTTTCCGCTGTCGCGTGCGCTCCGTTTGTGCAAAATTTCCCGACTGAATGGTGCTGCTGCTGGTTCTGCTGCTTGCTACTCGGTGTGGTAGCAGTGGCAGTGGCAGTGGCACGAGCCGTCGGCCACGAGGCACAAAGTTTGCCAGCCGTCATCGTGTGGCGCAGCAACCAAAGCAGAATGGAGTCAACCGACAATAAAAGCAATAGCAACAGCAACGACTGGCTGCCTGCCCGCCCGCCTGCCTGCCTGCCTGCCTGCTGCCTGCCACGTTAATGGTGGTTGTGGTAATGGTTGCCACACAACACACAGACACACACACGGGGACACACAGACAGGGGGACACAGAGCTTAACGACGCAGCAGCAGCAGTGGCAGCAGCAGAGGCATGTTGCCAGTGGGCGGGCGTTGGCTGCGGCAAATGTCAGGCAGCGCAAGCGACAGGCCGACGTGCCGCCACGCCGGACAGACGGACGGCGTGACCATGTCTGGCTTTAGCGCGCACACAAAAGTTCACACAGACACACACAGATGCAGATACAGACACTCTCACACAGATACCCAGCCCACACACAGATACCCCCCACACACAGGCATACAAATCAATTCGTTTAGGCGCAAATAGGAAGCATCCAAGCAGACATTTTGAAGGGGGAGTCGCAGAATCTAGGAGTGGAATGTAATGGATCTCTGGTGGGATAAACATATGTAGGTGGATCTTTAGATCTAGCTCTAGGGTGGGCCGATTCTTGGGTCTTAACGTGTGAGCTCAGGCCACAACTGGTGGGTATTTTGTTATTGGTTTCTCGGTCCCAAAAGCGATCACCAGCTGCGGGTTGAATTTTGCCTTTGGATTCTTTCGCTTATGCCTCTGGCAGGCGTCGGTTGTCGGAGGAAATACGATCAGTTGGGAGCAAGGAGTGGCAAGTGTGATAGATTATTGAGGCTTTGCCGAGAGGAATATTCCTAGAAACTTGCACTTTCTTAATGTGGAGGATCGCACTAAGAATGGATTTACGAAGAAAAGGTTGCGGGGACTTCAAGTTCGGATCAGGAAACGATCGAACTTTTGGGCACAATCGATCTAGGACCTCTAAAATCAGAGTTTTATTCACACCTTCTACCCATTATATTTACACCAGAATTCAACTTTCCCCTCGAGAATTTTGTTCATTGGGTGGACACTGCGTCACAGCGCTCTGTCAGCAGTCGGGTTAGTCTTAGTTGTGGCCTGCGGGTGGCGACGCAGCAGAACCTCTGAATGTTGCGGGGTCGCCAGGGTCAGTGGGGGGTAGCAGGGGGTGGCTGATGGGCTGCTATGGGTGGCGGGGAGTCGCTGACTTTGCCATTCGGCTGCCCGCATCGAAATCATAACACCAACGAGGCGAAACTTCTGCGCCGCAGCCAGCAGCAGCAGTCGTGGCAAATAATAAGCCAGGCAGCAGGCGACAGAACTGGCTGTGGGGCAGGAGCTGGAGCTGGAGCAGGAGACGCGTGCAGGACCGGATGGAGGTGCCATGGCCATAGGAGAACCGGATGGGATGTGGGGGCAGCAGCCAGACGAAGACAACTGTGACACAGCGGGTAGGGCAGGGCAGTGGCAGTGGCAGGGACTATTAGATAAATACGTTGGCAGGAAAGCACCGATGGCAGGAGGGGTGCGGTGGGGTAACAAGGTTGATGGCAACAAATTGCAGTGGATGGTGCCGTGCCGCACACATCAGACGAAGCTTAACAAGGTGCGCAACGCGTTCCGACAACAAGTGCCCCCAAAACTGTATGCTATGCAAACTTTCCATTTGCTATTCCCGCTGCTGGTGCTGGTGCTGGTGGTGCTGCTACTGCTGCAGTGGCTCTGCCGTTTGCGGGGGAATTATTCAAATCCCAAGCAAATCTCAGTCCAAAGCCAATCGAATTTGTATAAAGCATAATGCATCAGACGGTGGCAAGGATAAGCCAAAAGACTAAGCCGTAACATCTATCACTTGGGCAGAGGTGACAGCCCGCATATGCCCATACGAGAATGTTCATGGGGTAACATATTGTACCCACAGGGGGGTCCTTCAAATGGTGTCTGCAGATAACCAAACCAAAGGAAGAGCTGCTGAATTCCTTCATTTTCTTATCCAGATAAACCACACGAAAGTAGCATTGAGTTTATGGCTTCTATGGGTCCCATTGCCCAGAGATTTATTCCTTGATAACGGACGACAGGCAGACGCACAGGCGAAAACTGCTACGCCGAGATTCGAAACCGGAAGTAGGCCCTCGAGAAAGTAGAAACAACATACATGTCGTGTGCTTGAGGAGATACATTGATGCTCGACTCGAGTCTCGCCGATAAGCATTGTTTTTGTGATATGCGGGAGATTACCTGGGACTTTCAGACACTTATTCCCACTGAACAAGGGGACATATCGACAGAAAGAACCAAAGAGATCTACTAATCATGTCTTCTCGATAGAGAATGCAAATCATATATTCATTTTATGGGCTCCCAGAGATGTCTCGTTAAAGCATCTATTAGAGACTTTACCCACTCTATTTTTGGCCACAGGCATATTTAAATAAATAGCAAACCCCTCATGGAACAGCCACCTCCTCTACCAACGGTGCGAGAACCTCGTCTGCGAATTCTTCGAGGCGTAATGAGCAATTAGCATCCACACACCATGTGTCCGAGTGCACAGCCTTTCGTTAGGGACCGGGCATTGGGCATTGGGGATTGGGGACTGGGGAATCGGAGCCTCCTCCTCCGCCTCCAATGATGGTCACACGGATCCGCGTAAGTGCGAGCCGCTTGGGTCGTTGGCTCTTTTTTTATGCGGCTTAGCCAGGTGTAATCATAGTCGAGCGCACACACAGACAGAAACACAGAGAGCTACGCATTCACCCACAGTTGCACGTGGCATGTGGCATGTGGCAGGAGGTAGGAGGCAGGAGGCAGGAAGAGAGTAGGAGTCGGAGCACCCCCAATCCACTTGGCGCATGTTGCCAGCCAGCCAGCGCGTTTGCCAGCTGCCGTCGCCGTCAGCCAAATTACTGAACTGAACGATGACTTGAATGCGGACGGGGGTCACAGGGGGGTGGCCTGTAGCCTGTGTGGCATGCGGCATGGGTTGGGGGCAGTCATGTGGTGCTGGCACACACATAAATCGTTTATAGCCACACCGAGACCCGAGATCGAGGCCGGGGCAGAAGGCAGGCCAGGCAGGCCAGGCCGCCAGCGCCATCATCGTCATGACCGTCATCGTCGCCGTCCTCGTTGTTGTCGGCGCTAAAAGCTCTGCCACGTCCATGACTCTGACTGGGTCTGCAGTCTCCTGCCACACCGCCTGCGACTGCTACTGCTACTGCTTCTGCCACACATCTCTGGCCTGGGCTATGGCTATGGCTATGGCTACGGTTCTGCTAAGCCCCCGAACCCGAACCCAAACACCAACACCAACAATGCTGCCAATGTTTCTGGTCGACTTGACAGGCCCCACTGGCTGCCACTCCAGAGCAGTCCACACTGTATGCCATGCCACCCCCCACCCCCCAGGCCAGAGAAGAGGAGGCAGTAGCACTGGCAGTGGCAGTGGCAGTAGCCCTGTAACAGCCGGCAACATGCAACCTTTTGGCCAGAGCTCAGGAAAGTGTGGACTGTGGTAAATACCCTGCAATCCTCGCAATCGATGGCGAGCCCACCTGATGGCCAGGCACACACACAATAGCCAAAGGATGAAGGACCAGTCAGAGTCCGGAATGCAGAGTCAAAGGTATGGAAAAAGCCCGGAGATCCTGGAGAGACTGGCAAAAAGGTATTGGTGGCAAAACAGAAATGAAAATCAAACTGAGGGAAAAACCCCACACACACGGAACAAAAAGGGGAGGAAAAACACCCACAGGAAAAGCTTCGGAAGTGCGCTCACTGCCGCAATGGCAACGGAAGCAGGACGGTCGGACAGGACAGGCAGGACAGGACCAGAGGCAAAGGCAAAGGCAGAGGCAGAGGCAGAGCGAGGACGAGGCATGGCACGGCACGGCACGGACAGGACAGGACGGGAACAAAGGGGCGAGTGCGGCACGAGAAAGGCAGTTTGTCAAGTGGCGGCAGAGAGGGGAGAAGAAGTGCTGTGTGCGGTGCGGTGCGGTGCGTTGCGGTGTAGAGGGTGCCACGGGTGCCACACGGGTGGGGCCATGACACGACCTGCTGCTCCTGCTCCTTCTGCTCCCCTTGCTCCTCTTGCTCCTTGCGTTCTTTCTGCTTATGCTGCTGCTGGTTCTGTCGGCTAAAGAGAGAAAAATGACTAAATCAAAAGGAAGTGCGCCACACTGTGCGGTGTAAGAGCACGTACAATACGCCAGAGCAGAGCTCCATGGAGCTCCAGTGCCTGTGTCGGTGTATTTGTGTGTTCTGGTGTATCGGTGTGTGCTCGAGTGTGCATGACTGTTGGTGTGTGTATGAGTGCGGGTGTGTCTGTGTGTGCTGGCGCGTGCTTCGAAGACCGACAGCATGACGGCTTGGCGCACCTCACAAAAGGAAAGAAAGCGGAAAGATAGATAATACTGATACTTAGAGAAATTAAGCTATGGAAGAGCTATCGGAAGAGTGAACTACCAGGAGATTGAAGACCATTAGAAGGATGAACTATCAGCAGAAAAAGGCAGTGGAGAGCAAAGCAAGGGATGACTATGATGGACTATGATCAGAAAGAATGAGTGGATCACAGGCTGAAGCAAAGAATAAACCACTAAGAAGATTTACAATAAATGATTGAATCTACAGAAGGATGAATCAGTAGAAGAATGAGGGTGAATGCTATAGAAGCGTGAATCAAGAGGTGAGAATATCGATGAATAAATTTGTGAAAGAAGATATAGGTAAATCTTTGGAATGCCCTTACTAGTCAGTTCTTTCTTTCAGTTTCAAATTTTAACCCTTCTTCGAGCCCTTTTGTCGGGTGTGCACTGGCATGGCCGCAATATGGCAGAGGCAGACGGCAAACGCAAACAGAAGCGGAGCAGTGGTGTGAAAAAAA